AGCGGAATCGTGGAAAACAGTTTTTTTTTTGGGTGAGGGGGGGGGAGGGAAAGAAAAGGGAAAAGGCGCATAAAATTATGTTCCGTATCGATTCCTCGCTATGTCCCTTTCTTTCAGATGTCGTAATTTCCGGCCTTACCCTGTACCAATCCGTTCTGCACTTGTCTCCCCACGGTGACGGCGTTCCAGGTTAATGGCGAACACGAGCCAAAGAATTGCTAGATGGACCCAATCACTTGGTGGTTTGATTCGTGTCCCTTTACTCTCGACTCGGATTCCTCATTTTTTCCTCTTTTTAAGTTTGTGTTGACCTTAGAGCATTTTGTAGGTGGAAGTTGTACTACTGCGATGTTTATGCCACCCAGAATGGGGAGACAGCCAGTAGGAGCGGTTTTGTGTATTCGATCCGCCGCCCGCGGCTGTCGCGGACCATCTACCTCATTATAACAGTTGTAGCGTTTTCACAGAGCTCAATCGCTATGCGATCATTACTTTTGGCATAATTCTACTGTTAGTTATTTTGTTCCTGGATTTCTTACTTGCTGCTGGGGAGTATACTTATGTATACCCAATCTATGGTATTCACAGTATGTTATGAATCTGAAGCTGTAAAGTCAAAGGAGGGCAGGGAAGAGAGGGTGTGGCTCCTGAACTTTAAGCATCGAAAAGATAGACTCACCAAGATTTTTTGTCAGGGTTTTTGAGGAGCAGAGAAATGGAAAGTAAGAAAGGACTGCTTAGGAGAAAGAAAAAGAGTGGAAAGGTGGGAGAAATCTTTGAAAGGCTTACGTGTGTGTATGTGCCTTTCGGTCAGTACTCCGGGAAAATGATAGGTATGAAGAATGACATGCACTTTCAGCGGTTCCGTCAGCACCAGAAGGACCTCTTGAGGTGTCCATCACGGGAAAATCATGCAGACTATCATGGAGTGCTCCTTTGGATGACGGTCATTCCGAGCTTATTGGCTATAGCATAGAAAAATATGACGAAAAACTAAGGAAATGGATGTTCATAGCCAGATGCACTGAAAATGTTCACACATTGGGTAAGTGGATGTAGAAGATAAGAGTTTACAGTGATAAACAATTTGTTTATTTTGTTCCACTTGTGAATATGTTGGAAAATTTTTATAGATCGTCTTCCTCCCGGCTCTTCTCACTGCTTCCGAGTGTCGGCTGAAAATGCTGTTGGACGTGGGCCATCTATTGAGTCAGAAAAAGTGAAAACATCTGAAGGTTTATTGAAGTTCCTTGTGAACGAAACGATGACAGATCCCCCCTGAAAATGGGCTATTGCAGAGACAACGCTTCGAATGGAAAAACCCACAGCGATCTCGTCAGCTGGCTCGATAATTGCAATGTGGAAACCGTTGGCAGACGATGACGTCAACTACATCGTCGAAATTAAAGAGGTTTTGCTCTTTGGAGCCACTTGTGACAATTGAAGCAGGGAGGGCAACCCGAAGAACAAGCAAACAATTACTGCAAAACATAGGAACGTACATCCAACATGGGAACAGCTCATGAATTCTTCGTTGGTACATATAAAAAAGCGAAATCGGAAATTATACCGAGGTTGTATCAACCCGCTGTCCTGACTTTTGGTAATTCAACGGGTTAGTCGATAGTCTCCTACTGCTTACCCCCGACTCTTCCAATTAGTTTCTTCTCCATTCTCCACCATAGACATGGAATCCGTCCGCCACGCCCTGTTCTGTTTTCATTCTGTGTCTTCTGCCAAAAAATCTGAATTGTTGTAAAAGATTGGTTGCAGGCAGGTGAAAAAATCATCAAAAAGTTACACGACTGTGCGTTTTCGAAGAAGAGGAGGAGGAGGAGGGGGGGGGGGG